GCCCGGATTTTGGAGAGGAAGCAGAGCCCGGGGCTGCTCCCAGAGCTCAGCACCAGACAAACCACCATCCCCTCCTTCTTCAGCACCCACAAAGGTACCTGGGACCCAGGGAATGGGGTTCAGGGGTCCCAAACCCATCTCCCATCTCCTGGAAATGGGATTCAGAAATCCCAAACCCATCTCCCATCTCCTGGGACCCGGGGAATGGGGATTCAGGGGTCCCAAACCCATTTCCCATCTCCTGGGACCCAGGGAATGGGGATTCAGGGATCCCAAACCCATCTCCATCTCCTGGCAATGGGGTTCAGGGGTCCCAAACCCATCTCCTGACAATGGGGATTCAGGGGTCCCAAACCCATCTCCCATCTCCAGGGAACGGGGATTCAGAGATCCCAAACCCATCTCCCATCTCCTGGCAGCTTTACTGGGCAGAAAAGTTCATTTTCCAGTCCCAAAGGTAAAGGTTTGAACTGCCAGGAGGAGGAGATGGCTTCTATTGGGAGCTTGGAGTTTATTTTAAATGTTTTCACAAGCAAATGTGGGACTTGGTGCCTCTGTCAGGCCAGGGGGATTTCACTGGGGAGTTCTGTGGGGTTTTTTTTTGTAATTTTGAGCTGCTGTTTTACCAATTCCCTGTTGTTTTCAGATGGAAAAGACAAAGAAAACTCCAGGCCGACCCCGTTCACCCCCAAAAAAGGCTGTAAGGACACGGGGACTCCTTTGGCTGCCTGTCCTGTGAAGATCTTGGCCTTGCCACAGATGGAGGGAGCTTGGGAAGAGCCCTGTGGAGCYGAGCAGGGGCTGCAAGTTTCTTTGGATTCCCTGGAGCTCCAAATTGACTCCCAGAGCCCGAGCAGAGCCCCTCATGGGGCAGGGGGAGATCCCTGGGGCTGCAGCCCCTCCCAGGACTCGGAGCACAGTGGGATCATCACTCACAGGAACAAATCCCCATTATTTCCTGCAAAAACCTCGGGGAGCAGAAAACCACAGCACGGGAGCAGAGCTCGTTCTGAGCTGGGCTTTGCTGGGACTGAGAACACAAATCCTGCTGCAGGGGCTGCTCCCAGGGGAGCCCGAGGGGTTTGCTGCTCTCCCCGGAGCCCCCTCAGGGAGTGGGGTCAGAACTCAGCACGGAGCCAGGGCGGGTTCTGCAGGGAACTCTTCTGCCAGGACTCCCAAGGGAACAGGGTCATTGCTCATGGGGACAGGGATGGGGACAGGGACAGGGATGGGGACAGGGATGGGGACAGGGACAGCCCCCAGGAGCAGCTGGAACTGAGCTCCCAGTGCCTGTTCACACAGGACTCGGAAGGAAACAGAGTCATCAAACACTGGTGAGCCCCTGGCTGTAATTTTGTCATTATGGACGTGGTCACAATTGGGGAAGGGAACCCCTCTTTGTTCTCGGGGACTTTGCTTTAATCCAAATAAAATGTTGGAGTTTGTTTATAAAGGTTTGTTTATAAAGGGACTCCTGCTGGCAGCTCCATCTCCACGGGCACACCCCAAAATCCACCAAATCCTGGTGCAGATTCTCCCTGTCCCCACAATCACCTCATCCAGGGGCACATCCCAGTGGGGTGGAGCTCTATCAGCTCCCTGGAAAACATTTTCTTATAATAAAGCTTKAATAAAACTGATTCTTACATCTTCTTCTCTCATTTTTTAGGGTGGGGATAATGATTTAATTTTTCAAKGAAATTAAGGGGGATTAAGAAAACCCCTGGGCACCTGAATATGTTCAGGAATATGGGATCCCACCCCAACCCAGCCCCACCCCGAGCGCATCAATAACCCCACAGACCATCRGTGTCTTATTAAGGCTCCATTTTATATAAAGAAAAAAAAAATCATTCTTTAAATACAGCCATGAGGGACACTGCAGAGAAGGTGGAGCTGAGGGAAACCTCTGTGAGCGAGGGGGAGCTGCAGCCACAGCAAAGGTGCTGCTCTGGGCTGGGTGCTCAGCCCTTTGCATCCTCAATAAATAAATCTTCTGAAGGTAAAATAAAACACAGGTTTGGGATACAAGGATGGGGAATGGAACATTAAATTACTGGCAAGAAATTAAGGCCATTCTGTCATGCAACTGTGGGCTAATCTGTGAGATAACAAACAGCCAGGCCGTGTGAGATCCCTCTGACCTGAGCCAGGGGGTTTTGGGGAAAATGCCTTTTCCCACCATGATCCAACAGCCCCCAAAGCCCTGGAGAGAGCTGGAAGCATCAATGAGCTCTCAGGACAGAGCACTGCAGCTTTGTCCTGCTCAAAACTGGAAATGGAAACAAACTGGGTCTATCCTTATGGGTTAATGCTTCATTGGAACCTAAGGAAAAGTGTCGGTAGAAAGAATTTCATCCAGCAGCACTCCAGGAGATCCTCATCAACCACCAACACCAAAACACGGGTGGAAAAGAACTTCCATCTTCTCAAAAAGGTTTGTCTTAAATAGAACAACACATGGAAAACACATCAAATCCGTGGGGTCTCTCCTAATTCAGTGTCCRGTGCACAAATCTGATTAATAAAAGAGGCAAAGGCTCGATCCTTAGGAGAAGGCAGCTACTGTGGAGGAGATTTTGGGAGCACAAACGCTTTTTTGCTTTTGCTTACAAAGCTGAGTGGCAGCAGCATCACTTCTCCTTCAGGGCCAGGTCCTCATCCTTGAGGGCAAATTTCCTTCTGAGCACCTCGGCGATGAGCACGGCCGGGTCCTCCTCCTTCATGGAAGGGCGGTTCCTGCAGGGGACACAAACACCCAAAATCAACAACCAAAATCCTTCACCAACAGCTCTGCCTGGAGCCTCTCTGTTTTCCTGCAGCTTTCACCATCAGCTGTTTTCACAAGTGGAGGAGGTGCRAGAAAAACACCACAAAACAACAAAAAGCAGCGAAAATTCTGCCCTTTTTTTGTCGGACTGAAGCTGGAGTTTGTTCTGTGGCTCCAAAGGAGCCTGGAAATCTCACCCTGAAAGCTCTGGGTATTATAATATATATATAGATATAATATATAGAATAATTCTTATTCAACAGTGCTATTAAAAAGTTATCAACCCAAAACTTCATTAATTATTTACTTCTCCATAAAAATGAGGCAGCAGGGAGGTGTTTGGGGGAAGCCCTGCAARTGTCTGTTTTTTCCCTGATTTTGTTGCACTATGAATTTCTGCTTTCCCAGTTCAAAATGGGAGATTCCAGCATTTTAAAGCAGGGCTGGTACAGATTTCCTTTCACTCCATGAATTTTCCTGCTCTCAGAGCAATCTGCCTCCTTCAACAAGTCCACACAAGCAGCTCCTTTTAGAAGATTATTTTCCAGGAGGCCAAACCCCAGTTCTTTCCCCTCAGGTATCAT